TTCCCCCGAATTCGACAAGTAATACTTAAGTCTCTCTGTTTTATTTCATATATAGAAAATTATCATATCTTTGCAAAATTTTTGCACTTACACCGTTTAGTTAGAAAAATATTTAATAATTAAAATAATTGAGAGGTCCTTCTTAATAAATTTTTTATTGAGAAAGAAATTTCAAATTTTGAAAAGAATCCCCCAAAATAAAGCGCAAATGATATCTTGAATGGACAAAAAAAAAAATTAGTCGAGAGAGGAAACATTTAAGTGGGACTTTTTATACTTTTCGCTGACGGCGCCGTAGAAAGGAGGTCATTTCACGTTACCCTCGCAAGAATTCATTCTTTTAATATGCCCGTTATCGAGAGATACGTATATAGCTCATCGTCGAGAAAAAACGCTTACAGTGTCTTCTTTGATATTAATTTTTATCTAAAGATTTTTTAAATAAAAAAAAATTAAAAGAAGAAAATACACTTTAAACATTTTTTTAACTTATATATTATTTTTACAGCATATTATTACAAAATTTTCCAATGTATGTTTAATTTTCTTTCAATATCATTTGTATATTCTATCTATTCCACTTGACATTCATGAGTCATAATCACTATGATTATGTTTTCCTTGACTCGTACTGATAATAGAGAGACTCTCTCGATTTATCGGACACGCGATAAAGACCAGTTATCGGGTATCTTACTATGTTGCATTAAAAGTAAATAAATTTGCTTTTTGTTTAGCTGAATTTGTTTAATGATAATGATTCAGTTTACATATTTTTTAATTTCTCTTGTTCACTTTATTATTATTACATACACATGCGTATACGCTACGATAAGAAATTTCTTAATTGCTTTATTTAAATTTTTGAGATAATTCAAAACTATCATCACAGCAAGCAACCTCTGCTCGCTTTAATTCAAAAGAATGCCAAATAAAATTCTTCGATTTATTTTACTGCTTATGTGCTCGGATTTATAAGATATTTCCATCAGATCGAGAAGGAACAGTGTTTCTTTTTCATATCAATTTTATAATGAGAATGTAAGTATGAGGGTGTTGAAAACATGAGTCATAGAATTCTAAGACGACGACATGGGACCAATTTCCGATATGGTACGGCCCTGAAAACGATGAATCATTCCTTTGAAGCTGATGTTTTATCTTCGTCTAACCCTTTGGATACAAATATGGTGTATGTACGTGCAGCCAGCTCGAGAACTTTCTAGTAAAATTAAATTAAGTCCTTAACAAGTAACAAGAGAAAGATGTTTAAAACATTCGACTCTAAATTTTGTAAAATTTTGTAAAATAAATTTGTTTCTTATTCGTAAAAATATTATTAGTATTAAAGTCTGAAGAAACGTTATTTCGTCTGAAAAAATCGAATTTGAATTCGCAGTAGTTAAGGCCAGATCATTTCCTTGCCTTTTTCGAATCACAACTATTATTTATACATTACGACATTTCTGTCTTATAAGGAGCGTTAATTTATATTCGAGCTGACCAGCGACCTTGTCCTGAATCGCAGTCTTTCGATACACCCAGGATTTCGCGATTCATGAACAGAATTAATAAAACAGAAAGAAAAAAGGGAAGCGAACTAGAAGAAAATCCAAATAATGTTACATATATTTTTGTTATTTTTATAGAAATACTTGTTTATTTAACAACATTTTTGTAATATTTATTTCGAAATCAGTAAACTTCAAAAAGAACGATGATTCAAATAATCAGAAGTTTATGAAACTATCTTAACAGAATTAACGGGAGATGTTTCGACCCACTGTTCTTTTGACACACAATTATTTTCATCACTCGTTGTTTCGTAAAAACAATTAGCTCACTTAAATATTTTGATATTTCAAAATCTTTTCTTTATTTAACATTTAATCGATAATGTGTCAGGATAATGTTTCAGATGATTTTAATTAATTAGTCTCGTTTTATTTAAACTGTAATTTTTATTTCAATTTCGATTCTAATTACCATTTCAAGTTTTGATTTTAATAAATTCTTGCTTGTGTTGTATTAGGAGCGGATTAAAGAAAATATTTTTATCGAGATCGGGATCTGCTCGCCGACAATTCTGGTCGCCGTACGGTACTGCGAGGTTGCTGGCCGACCGACCAATCGACAGATCGGCCGGTCTATCGGCCAGCCGGCCGGCGTCGCCATTTTGGCATTGGGAGACCAGAAAGTGCGCGCGCCGAGGCCACGCTGCAGCTGGCGACCTTTATTTTCTGATTTTATCTAGCGATAGCTTCTCGAGCGCTCATGCGGGACCACTCCTAACCTATCCTATCCTAGTCTAATCTACAATTGTTCTCAGATTTGACTGGATCATTCCTGCAAATGTCGACCTAAAAGCCGCTCATAAAAGTTTCATTCCTTGACCGTGTGTATTTCTAATCTAATATAATTTACAATACCAATGTCTATTAATTTTAATCTCGGTTTAATTTGTTCTTTATCTTTTTCTAATTCTTGGAAATAAAAAAAAGATAAAAAGTAAATTAAATCGAGGTTAATCTACATGTTGGTGGAAACGGCTTTAAATCGTTCCCAAATAGAGCTATTCAAATTACGGAAACTTGATCTTTGATTTTTGCTCTTTTCTAATTATTATATTTTCTACTAAAATTGAAGGCAGAAACGATTATATTGTAATATTTATAAAGATTCTTTTCTATTGATGAGAAAAGGAAAATAAGGGATTTCCAATATACAGAATTATTCATAGGAAAGAAAGATACTTCCATCTTCAAATCTTTTTCAATCTCAATTCATAATTAAAACTCATACATATGTGGTTCTTTATAATATATATCTTATATATATATATATATATCTTTATGATAAATCAATAATATTCCATTAATCTCACATGGATTAAAAGAAAGGGTCTTATCTATTCTTTCTACCAAAACTCGTCAAGGAAAATTTCCTTACTAACAAAATTTTCTTAATAACTAACTATTAATATCTATATTCTAATTTTCCCTTTAATCGTTATTTTTTTAAATTAAAACCTGGCATTTCGATATTTTTTTATTATTTGTCATTACGATGCAATTAAAGCGAAACGTTTTAAAAACATGTTGATGAAAGAAACACGACACGGGATTATATGATAAATGGGTCATATCAATGTTATTATAATCATTTTAGATTTTGCTGAAACGAACGTATTTTGCAAACTGCGGTTATCTCCCGGCAGATTTACCGACAGAATTTGCGGTGAACTTCAAAAGTGCAACGTGGAGGGCGCACCAATCACGATAGCAGCTTTCACTGCAAGATTCTTCGAGCCACGTAAATTTTTTTTTTTTTTTTTTTCGTTTAAAGTAATCGATCCATTGTGCAACAGTGAAACACGACAATAGAACTCCGCCGAGCGGACTTCGAGAAAAGGCACGTCACTGAGATCACGAAGTGAAAACTCCCTGAACAGCACAACGATGCAGAAATATCTTTCTCATGCTATAATTGTCACGTTTCAGCCGTACACCAGATTTGAAACATTGCAACGTCATGGTCCTCCCGATTATATAGATAATCACCGACATTATCGTTCTCATTGTAAGCGCAGAGTTTGCGCAAATCAGCCAGATCTATACGAAGAAAAATTGGAAAAAATTTAATCTCGCCTTTAATCGGCGAGGTTTATTTGTACAAAAATTCTCGAATGACTCGCATTCGCATGGAATGTCACTAAAATGGAGGATGAGAAAAATTTTATAAATAAGGCTGATTTATATAAAAAAAAAATATGCATATTCATATGGAGATGAATTTTACAAAAGATTTATATTGAAATGAGATTAATTTAATTTATATAAAAATTTGTATAAAATTTCGAATATTGAATTAATTGTAAATCGATTACTGATAAATGATAATTTCACGATTACAAATTTAACTATTTGCTGAAATTTAAATTGAAGTTTAAGTAGAAGTTTAGATTCAAAATGTATTTATACTGCATTTATTTTTAAATAATCAAATTTAATATCACGATTCAAATGTTGATATTTAATGTTGATTTTAAATAATTCAAGAAAAAGCTTATAATTTGATAAAGATGAACAAATTAATCTAACAACAAATATAAATCCAATTTTTGAGTTTCATTTAAGTTAATCAAAAAAGTTTTTAGTTGTAAGAATTTTGAAACAATTTATTTTATATGGTTTTTATCAAAATTTAATTAATAAGACGTAATAAAATCAAATGTGAGAAAAAGAGTTGAAAGAAGAAAGATGCTGAAGTCAAAAATATAAAGAACAAAAAAAAATTATGTTTCTCTTTTCTGTTTAAAAGTCCTTCCCTTGTATTAAAAGCAAAAATAATTTTTGCTTGAAAAAGGACATCGTGAAACAAAACATGTATGATGGACAAAACGGACGATTAAGTCTCCGTTCAATTAAAATTTTAATACGATGAGTAGATATAATTTAAGAAGCGAATAAATTTTCGGACTTGAAGATAAATAATATTGATATATAAAATATTAGCGTTAGAAAATTCCTATTGGCTAGGTTATTTGAGCTAAAGTGTTCCGCATATAATAGACGAATCGGCAAAAGTCGCCTCGTGCTCATCTCGTGCCTACGTGACTAACGCTAGGCTAACCTAAAAATTCCATTCGTCTGCATATCGCGAGCTACGAGACGGACGTTCTCGTCCGGGATCCACGGATCTCTGGCGCTTCGCACGCGATCGGCCTGTTAAGAGTCATTCGCAGTCGCCGATAAGATGGACCACCATTTTCACGTCGCGGTGCGTGCCCGCGACGTGTACCCGGCGAGTTGGCGGCCATGTTAAGCGTCGTCGTTGTCGTCGTCATCGTCGTCATCGTCGTCATCGTCGTCATCGTCGTCGTCGTTGTCGTCACCGATCGCCAAAAGACCGCTGCACGGTTCCTTCTTGTAAAGAGAAAGAGAGAGAAAGATAAATGAGCTAACACGAAACGCCGGAATTTCGGCAATTCTGGTTTCAGCGAAAAAAGAACGCGATCTTTCGATCACCGAAGCCACGACTCGCTGTCATAGAATTTGTCCTCCCTCGTGTATCCGCGTATTTTTTAAGCATCGCGAGTGCGAGTCAGATTTTTCCCCATCATCGTGCGAAAGCGTGACGGAATGGCGAAAACACCGCTACCGCCACCGCCGCTGCACGCCACACCCTTTTCAAGGCGCGCGGAGTACGGAATCGATCTCCGAGCGGGCGGGCGAGCTGTGACCGACGCTCCATGTGCCGAGGATGCTACCCCGTCATCGGCTATCCAGCGCGGCCCGCCGACACGAACTCTCTCCTATGCGCCCAACGCGACTCGATCGATCTGCCGTCGCGCATCTTCGAGGAACGGCACGAAACATGTCCGCCGTCGCCACCGCCGCCGCCCCCGACGAACGAACGAACGAGCGAGCGAGCGAGCGAACGGATGGACGATTCATTCGTCGTTTCTACCATTTCACGGATTTTCGCGGGCCAGGATTTGCCGTCGAAGCGACGACGTTCTCTATGAGGTTCTTATGACGTTCTGATGAAATGAGACGTCGCGTGACCGATGAAAAGAGACCAGCCGGTCGACCAATCGACCCAACGGCAGGCCAGCCAGTTAGCCGGCCGGCCGGCCGGCTGGCTGCCGGACGGGCGGGTAACCGTCCACGTCTACGTGGCATTATATTTCGGGGTTAGAAAGCGACGTGCGTGTGCATGCTATCCTACGCCGTGCTACGCTGCACTTCGCGACGCAGCGTGGCGCGGCGCGGCGCGGCGCGACGCGATGCGGCTCACTCGCTCGCTTGCTCGTTCGTTCGTTCGAACCGGTTCGTTTCGTGCTCGAGACGAACGAGCTCGAACGAGAACGTCCGCGCGGACGATCTCGTCGGAGCATCTGTCCGCGCGCTCTCTCTTTCTCTTTCCTTCTCGCGCTCTTACTCCTCGCTCATTTGCACTCTTTCCCTCGCGCCGACAAAGCACGTTTCACGCCTTACCGGAGGGCTCTCCGCTCCGTGCACTTTCCCTTTTATCGAGGGGGCGTGCTACCAAATCTATTTGTCCTCTCTTGTTCTCGCTTCACGACTATCTCCTACTCATTCGTTCTTTCTCTCACGCTCACTCTTACTCTCTCTCCCTCGCTCTCGATCTTTCTCGCTTTTTCTCTCTCTCTCTCTC